GCTTCTTTTTTTTCCCCTCTTTTTCTTTATTCTTTGTAAGCAAATAAAAATTGAAATTAAAGGAAAATAACTAAGAAAGTTATATTCGGCTAAGGCCGAATCTCGCATACCCATCGCTATTTAAATCTCTAGCGCCCCATGCTTTTACTGGAATGGAATGAAATTTACCTTTCACCTTTTACTTCATTAAAATGTATTGTTACGAGAAATTAATCCACGACATCGCGCCATCCGCCATCCGCCATCCGCCATAATTAAAAGAGAATTGTCGCATTTTACTCTATAAGTCCTTTTACATGATTACATCACGCAGGCGGACAAACATGGCTTAATCGATACAGAATTTTGAGTGTTGTTACAAACATTATGATGAAATGAGTTTATTTGCATACTTCAGTAGTGTCTAGGGTATAACAAATGAAATGGAAAATTTTTTGTTTTCAAACTTTTCTGTTAAGCCAATCATCGCGTAATTGTGGGCGAATTTTGTGTTCACTCTTCGTAGAGATTGTAATGACTATGAAGCATGGATAAAAAATCACTTGTCAAGAAATACTTCTACTTAAAAAAAATATATGGGATTAGATTGATTTCGACTTTTACAGATGATACGATCCCTTCACTATATTCATACCCACCATATTTTGTGTTTTTCCGTAATATCTGTACCACCCAAAAGGGAACTTCAGAGACCCGATAAAGTATATATATTCTTGATCAGTGTGAAATTCCGAGTTGATTTAGCCATGTCTGTCCGTCTGCCCATTTATGTGGTGTGTAGCTTTGCCACTCCCCTCGCCGCAAAAATGTAGATGTCGACTTCAAACTTGATAGAAACATTGGAGGTTTCTGCACGCAGGTTGGTATTGAAAATGGGCGAAATTGGTAGAAGCACGAAGTAGAGCGTAAACTGGACGCAAGTCTGTTTTCTTTATCAGAAATTTTTGGAGTTTTCCTCGTTACTAGGAAACTATTTATAATGTTAGAAGGCTGAAATTTTGCACGTTTACTTTACGCAGCATCCTACTCTTTACGTCCAAAAATGAAGACAATCAGCCATGCTTACACAAAGTTACAATTAAGTAAATTTCATTTTGTTCATTTTTTCAAAGTTTTATGCCTATTTAGCATAGGGTAAACAAGACACATTGTTCGAAACTTATCTACCTAAAAATGGGTTAATTCTAAAATGAATATAGTAGACATTGCGATTTGGTGGATTAATTTTTTCTTAATACTACCAGCGATATGAGTACCAAATAAAAGAACTTGTAGAGTAGAATGCGGAAAGCATAGAGATGGTCATGCAAGATCCAGCCCCCGCCGAATATAACCTTCTTAGTTGATTCTTATAGGGTGCTTTATCGTAACGCAGGATACGTAGGATACATTATTTATAATTTTTTTTATCAATCAGAAATGCTGCTTAGAGGTCATCTAAGAGGTGTGCAACCTTGATTAGTCTAAGAATCGATTCAGGCGTGTTTGTCCTTCCGTGGTTGCCGCATGTTTATATTCCTCGCCTTCGCTAGAATTTCAGCCTTAACAAATGCTCCAAGCGTAGTTAATGTATTGAGATCTACTCGAAGGTAGCAAAAAAGATTACAAAATTGTAATACATACATATATATATATATATATATATATATTTAGAAAATAACTATTCAAAATTTCGCGAAAAAAAGAATTCGTCAATAATGGCGATATATATATGCCATCGTATGTGCGTTTTATATTCTTAATTAGTATAGAATTTTAAATCGATGTCCGTCCGTCTCCTTGTGGAACACATTCTACCGATGGTAGTAATGAAGATATTGGCTCCCAATTTGGCAGCCACATTGCATGTTCTTGCGCACAAGTCGGTATTGAAAATGGGTCAAAGCGATCGGAGGATACATCTGAGAGCATCTCTGTTTTCAAAAATTAAACATACATAGTAGCGAGAATTGTCGTGATCGTCTTGTTAAGCCTAAGTTGCTAGTGATGCGTATCCGCGATTCGGTGTACAATGACGACAAGTTTCGCACTTATTTTATAATTTTTTTCTTATGCATTTTTCATGTGTGCATAAATAATTTTAAGTATGATTGTGTTGCCTGTATTATTGTAGGCGTGTGTATTTTTATTTACATTTAGTAAAAACAGTAAAATGTAAATTTTTAATTAGCAAAAATTGTTTTTTCCTTTCCCACTTTCTCTCTAGATAAACAACTTGTGTTCAAATATATTTTTTATGAAAAATAGTTTTTTTTTTTTTTTCCTATTTTTGACATAAGAACGGAAAACTATTGATACTTGTTTTAAATTTAGATCTTTTAAAGTATATAAGAGAAAAGAAAATAATAAATGCAGTTGTTTATTAAAAAAGCAAAAGCAACTACAAATGTTTTTTTTTTTTTTTTTTTTTTTTTTTCTTTTTTGCATATATTTTACATTTATATTGTATTTATGTAATGTTTGCAGAACGTATACAAAAACAAAAAAGAAATAATATATATATATATATATATATATATATATATATATATATATATATA